GAGAAGCCGTTGTTACCTACTTCGTGCTAGACACTAGGTATACACTAGTGAGAAAACCAGACATGGACCTTTCCTGACCTCTTAGCCCAGAAATCCCTGCCTACTCACCTCTAGAAGAGTTCTAGAAGAGATACAGAAATGTGGTTTCCCAACTTTAGTCTTAGAGATTTTTTTTTTTTTTTTTTTTTTTTTTTAAGAATAGTAAAATGTGGTAGTGGAGCAATAAGACCTTGATAAAGAACTTGAGTCCCATCAGCTACGTTGCTCATTGTGGTCACTGTTTCCTAAATGTCAACTCTTGTGAAGATTAAGGATGGTGATAAAGAAACAGTTCATAAGTAACACGATATTAATCTAAACACTTTGAAAGTCAATTTAATATGCCTACTTAAGATTAAGGGGCCCAGATTTGAGGTCTAATTTGAATAGGCATGAATATGTGACCTAAGGAAACCTTTTTGAGGGGTGCCAGGGAAGATATGAGACCTAAATGACCCACCTGAGTGGTTTGCTAGTTGATACCTGTTGTTTTTCCCAATAGTAACCTTAGTCTTTCCTTCTAGGGAGAGATGGCCCTGCCATTTTCCTACAAGGGAACAGGGACTGTGAAATGGGAAAGGTTGGATGCTCTATGTCCTTAGAAATTAAAATAGTCTACTTGGAACAGCTAGAAATAGTAGAAGGTAGCATGGGGGTGCCTGGGTGGCTCAGTCGGTTAAGCATCTGCCTTCGGTTCAGGTCCTGATTTTAAAATCCCAGGATAGAGTCCCACATAGAGCTACCTGCTCAGCAGGGAGCCTGTTTCTCCCTCTCCCTCTGCCCCTCCTCCTTATGCTCTCTCTCAAATAAATAAATAAAATCTTAAAAAAAAAAAAAGAAGAAGGTAGCATGACTACGAGAACTAGGCAAACATCATGGGAACTTTCTTTATTGACACTGTCTGTAGAGTGATTAACAAGGAAACCATCAAAGTACGTGAACTGATTTTTCAGGCAACACAGAGAAATTAGAAAAGCGAGGAGATACTTTCTCCTCCTCAGTCTTGGAGAATAAGGACCTAAAGAAATGTCCTATGTGGCACCTACAAAGAATAGGAAAGAGGGTGACTCTGTGGAGAAGAGGGTCAGAAGAGCCTCAGGAAGCTGTCAGGGATTAAGGACTGACCCTGGAGGCTTAGCTAACAAGAGACCCTTGAGTTTTTCCAAAACAAGTATTTATTTTTAAAAGCGGAATATTTAACTGAATTGCCCTGAACTTCTTAGTTTGAGAAACTGGAATGTGATTATGAAAAGATTCTTTCTTAAGGGATTTTTCGTTTGCTTTTTGGCAATGCTGCTTCTGTCGTGGCCAAAAGCCAGAAAAAAAAAATAATAAGCTTCAAATGATTTGAAAACTTCAGATTCTCATAATAAGACTCAGGGTCAGTTTGATTCTACAAGCTATAAAGAGTTGGCGCAGGTAACGCAATGGGTTTTAAATAAAATTAGGTCAGAGTCTCAGCCTCCATCTGTCCATGAGAATGCTCGTAATGATAGGAAGGAAATTGTAGGCTGCTTCTGAAGAGCTTTAAGGAAAGGGTAGGCAGACATCTGCTCATGATGCTTTAGGCATTCATCTGCATAGGAGAGTTTGGACCCTTTCCATTATTTTAAAAGCTCTAAAGAACCCGAATGGACATTATGGAGATTCTTAAATAACATCATGGTAGTTAAAAAAAAGAACCCTGATATATAAGCTACCACTATATTAAAAAGGATAATAAAGACAACCAATGAGCTAAAGTATATTTCTATTAATCATTCTTTTATATCATTTCTTTTTTTTTTTTTTAAGATTTTATTTATTTATTTGACAGAGAGAAATCACAGGTAGGCAGAGAGGCAGGCAGAGAGAGAGGAGGAAGCAGGCGCCCTGCTGAGCAGAAAGCCCGATGTGGGGCCTGAACCCAGGACCTGGGATCATGACCTGAGCCGAAGGCAGCGGCTCAACCCACTGAGCCACCCAGGTGCCCCTCTTTTATATCATTTCTAAACAAACTCTGTCAATGCCATTTTTTTTTTCGAAATTCAAGAACTACAGATTTAATTCTTTTAACCGACTGGCAGTTGAACCTATGCAGTTCCTAGTATCTTCAGTGGAAATAAAGAAATGAACTAGGCAAAATTTTCCACTGAAAAATAACTCTGACTCCCAATGATCATGCCTTTTAGTTGCATGCACTCTCTCCCTGGTTGGGGATTAAAAAATATATATACTTTCATTCATCTTGGTCTCTCTCTCAGCCTAGCTCATCTGTACTCTGGCCGCAGGTCACCTCTAAGGCCAGTTTTCTCTATTCCTGCCCCAGTGCCTCGCTGTACTACTGGACTAAGTCCTAACACCCTTCTCCCCTTGTTCTCTGTCAGATCAAGCTTTTTGGCCTCAGCTGAACCCCTCTTTGCCACCTAATCATCCCCTGTTTGCTTTGATGGTTTCCACTTGATTCCCCCAGGGGCTGTTGTGGGTCTTCCTGCTTACGTCTTTAAGTTCAACGCACCTCCTCCACTTTGAGCAGGTGACGGAGAAAACTCTACAGAGAAGCTTAAGACTGTGTGTCCCAAGCAGCCTCAACATTTCTTCAAAATCTTTCTAGTTCCTTATGCTTCCTCTCTCAGTTTGCTTCTATTTTCTCAGAGTGAAGCCTATGGTCTTTTCCTTTACCAAGATTCCTTTTCTTGTCACCTACTGTCTCCTTTGGGACCTGGGGCAGGAACTATCCCTTCACCTCCTCAGATGATCAGTCTCTCTTTTAGGTCAACTTATCTCTCAAGGTTTACTCATTGCAAACAGACCAATTACCCACCTAGCTTTATGGGACTCCACAGATGATGAGATACCTCTGTGAATACTAAGAATAGCTTATACCCATCGACTCCATTTTCCCATTGATATACTTTTTTAGCCGCTGTGATCTTGATTTTTGTTCCTAGTACACCATAGAAACCATTGCCCCAGCAGGCTTTTTTTCAGTGTCCAACCTATCGGCAACACTGAACCTATTGAACACCTTCAGGAATTCTTATTTCTTCTGCTACTTCTCTCATGGTTCTCTTTGTGGATTACCTGGCAGTCTTTTTCTTTCTATCTCAATTTAGAACTTCTCTCCTCTTATGATTTTACATGCTCTACCATGTAAAGCTTCCCAATCTTCAAGTTTTATACATCTTATTTGTATTTCTATGGCTTGTGCCTTGATCCCTTTCCCGAGATCAAATCCCCATCGCACAGCTGACTATAACACCTACAAGTCCAGCCTGCGCGTCACACTCCATAGGGTCCTTAAACCAAACTTGTCATTTCCCTCTCCCAAACCTCCTCCCAATGTTCCTAGTTTTGGTCATGATATCCACCATTCTTTCAGAAGCCTGACTATTCATTTAAATTCAGCAAATTTCTATCATATGCTTAATATGTGTGAGTCAACAGTCCTAGGCATGGGGGGATAAAGGGGACAACGCAATACATGAAGCTCCTATCCTCATAGAGTTTGCATTCTAGAGTAGGAAAACAGAAAACAGACAAGTAATCAAAGAATATAAATTTTGGTAAAGACTAGTGCTATGAAGAAAGTGAAAGTGCTGCAAAGGAACTCAGGTTGCTGTGAGACACGGGTTTGGGCAGTGGGACAAGCTATCAGATGAGGTGACCAAGGAAACCTCTCTGAGGAGGTAACATTTGAGATAACTGGAATAAGGATTAAGGAATAAGGCCAATCATGTAGATAGTGAGGAAAGAGCTATTCTAACAGACATGGGCCAATGCAAGAGCTCAAAATTTGTACACACCTCTGTTTCCTTTATTCTCACCTCAACTCATCTTTCTAATTTAAATTGCTTGTTAGGTCTTGCAAAGTGACCTTGATTTTTATCTCTTTCATCTATTTCCTTCTGGTTTAAGACCTGATTGCATCCAGCTCCCCATCCATTTCCTGTTCCAGAACATCCCTCATATCATTACAGAATTAATCTTCTCGAAGTAAAAGAAACTACAATACCATCCTCTTGCTCCAAAGCCTCTAGTGATTCCCCCATCATTCACTGAACTAATATAAGCCTGGAAGAGTAGCATTCAAATCCATTCAAGGTGTAACCTCAAAATATTTTTCAATTACTTTCTTCCATACTGCTAGGCACAACCCTATCCAAATCTGTATGCAGAGCACACCTTCAACATTTTGTGTCCCCTTTACTTGGACTGACTGTCACCCCCTCACACTCATTGTGGATCCGTCACAGCCCTCCTGGTCCTCTAAGCCCCATCTAAAACCTTTTTTCCTTGGAGACCCTTTAGATGTCTCTCCATTTTTAACCCACAAAGAATTTTATCCCTTTCTTAGAGCATTTGTCATACTTTGTGCTAGAATGTGGTTATGTGCACATCTATCTTCTCTCTCTGCATCTCTTACTTTATCACAGATGTTTCCAGACAGTGACCACATGTTATTTTTCCTTGTACTAGTGTAGTGCCTTACACAGAGTTGGCATGGAACAGTATTTGTTGAATGAATAAATGAACTTGTCAAATCTGAGTTTGATCAACTAATACTTATTTCACAAGACCCCAGTAGTTTCCTTTTTATCATTCCTCTCAAGAGGTTCTCAAGAGACTTAGATGTGAAAAGTCAGAAAGCAGAGATGAAGTACAGAACAAAGTCCCTATTTTGAAATAGTCTAGTTAGTTTCAGCTGAAAGTTTATATTGAGGAACATTCAAGATACCTATTTTTTTCAGGTTGCATCATCACTACAGGGTGAGAAAAATAACTTACAGAAACACTAACTGATTTCTTGTTCAGGCGACATGAAACTGCTTAACATTATTTAGTTCTTAAAAAAATATTATCTGTAGTTTAAAAAAAGTTTGTTTTTCAAGTATTTTGTTTGCATTTACTGAATTTTAAAATAGATTTTATTCCAAAGCTTAAAAAAAAAATTATCACAGTCACAGAAGCTCAATACTTACCACATTACTGCATGTTCTATATCGGATATTTCTTCCCTCACAGCTCCTAGGGGACAAAAAGAAAAAACAGATTCATTATTACCTGTGAAAGTCTCAAAATTGAATCTATTTGCTTATAAAAACAAGTTTCGGGGTGCCTGGGTGGCTCAATTGTTAAGCATCTGCCTTTGGTTCAGGTCATGATCCCAGGGTCCTGGAATCGAGTCCCGCATCAGGCTTCCTGCTCAGCGAGAAACCTGCTTCTCCCTCTCCCGCTCCCCCTGCTTGTGTTCCATCACTCGCTGTGTCTCTCTGTCAAATAAATGAATAAGAAATCTTAAAAAAAAAAGAGAATAAAAATAAAAACAAGTTTCTCTTACTACAAGTAAGAGTCTTTTCTTCAGAGTAACAATGTTCTTAGAAAAGTTCCTATCAAATATTAAATAGCAGATCTCAAGAAGTTGTGTGTGGAAATGGATTTCTCCATGAGGGCGGAAACTAAGCATTCATTTTGCTTCCAGAAATTTTCAAAATAAGTACTTACAGTTAGTGCTTATTTAACCAAATAAATATTAATGCAAGGTTTACCGAAAATGAATCCTGCCTTCCTAATTATTTCTGGCATAAGACTGAAGAGATGTTTCACTGAACAAATGTAGGTCTGGAATATGGTAAAAACGGGACTTGATAAACATGTCTTAAAATTACACATATAAGGACATGAAAACTCATAGTTCTTAAAGAATTATTTTTACTTCTAAAATACACAGTCATTGTAGAGGTTTTGGGAAAGAAAGTTTACAAAAACAGAGTCTCCCAGAATTGCCTCATCTAAGGATAATCCCTATTATTTTGATTTTATTGATTTCTTCTCAGTGTGGAGGAAATCACATCACCTATGCCATTTTGTAGTTTGGTTTTTCCACTTAAAAATTTTTGGAAGCATTTTCCCACACTGTTAAATAACTTTAAAGACACAGCTTTGAGAGCTACATAATATTCCATTAAATGAGATAACATAATTTGTGTAAGCATTCTTCCATGACTTGTCATTTAAGTAATTTCCAATTAGGGGTTTGATAAATGATAGTGTGATAAACTATGTCCATGTGTATGTTTTATCTAAGTTTCTGACTATGGCTGTAGGATAGATAAATTTCTAGAGGGTGAAATACTGAAATAAAGGGAATGAGCTTTTTTTTTTTTTAAGATTTTATTTATTTGACAGAGAGAGATCACAAGGAGAGAGAGAGAGAGAGAGGAGGAAGCAGGCTCCCTGCCTAGCAGAGAGCCCAATGTGGGACTCGATCCCAGGACCCTGAGATCATGACCTGAGAGCTGAATCAGAGGCCTAACCCACTGAGCCACCCAGGCAGCCCCAAAGGGAATGAGCTTTTATAAGGCTTTTGATAAATATTGCCAAATTGCATTCCGTAAAAGTTGTATCATTTCGTACTCCCATCATCACTACATGGGAAGCTCATTTTACTCAATTTCTACGAACCAAACCAGTTTTTTATTAAATATTCAAAGGTGACACTTAAAAACAAGGACAGCAGTACTCTGCTCTTTGTAAAATAAATCACACTTTTTTACAAAACAAGTAAAAATATATTATAAAATGCTGAGAGAATGATTATACTAATAACCGATAGTTATGAAATCCCAGGAATATTTCTAAGTTTGTTGTATGTATTAATTTATTTAATCCTTTCAAGAACCCTGGGAAATAGGGCACTATTATTATACCTATTTTACGGATGAGAAAACTGAAGCTTAGGAACGTTAAGTAACTTGCCCAAATCTCACAAATATTAAGTAGTAGAGCTGAGATTTGAAGGTAGGCCATCCAGCTTCAGAGCTTACACTCATAATCAAAAGGATTCACCATTACCTAATTTACTTGTTTATCCAGCAAACGTCTACTGAGCTACTATGTGCTGGGCAATGCATTTACTTCTGAGAATACAAAGAAAAATGAATATGATTTTGTCCTTGGCCTTAAGAAAACCACTCATGTCGTTATAATTCAGTGTAAGAAAAGCTAAATAGTATGTATTAGGTCTTGGGGATGTTATCAAAAATAGAATAGCATCTGAAAATACAATTACACAAAGGCTATCTTCAAGAAATAGAAAGGTCCCAGGCCTAAGGACCTGACTGTGACCAGTCTGATATTATTAACATGCATTGACAATAGAATGTGGGAAAGGCAAGGAAGGGCTGGCCAGGCATTACAATCATAGAAAAGAAGAGAATGACAGAGATATATGGTTGTCAGTGCCCACCCCGCCCCCCGCCCCCGCCGCCTAACAATGCCCCAGGCAAAAGGTCAATGAGCACCATGTCCTCTAGGTCGCATTGGCAAGGCTGTTGCTATCATGATATAGATGCCTCATGCTAATTTGGGTGATGCCGATGAATGCTTTCTTCATCCCAGGAATACCCCTCATTACGATGCCATGTTGACCAAACATCTTGCCAAGAATGATCTGGTTTCTCAGGACTGCTGAGAGGCAGACTGTGCTTGTCATGCTGACATGGGTATTTTGGTCCATGTAGTAGTCCCATTTTTCATTGTAAGTTACTCAATGCACTAGCATTATAGTTTGAAACATTAATCTCATGGACCAAGTCATTGTGAGCCCACCTCCAAGAAAAGGATCTGTTCTTGGTATGATTGCTGAAATATACCTGATTTCTGAGTCTAAAAAGATGATAACTAGGCTCCAGTTGATAGTAAATTTGCAAGGTGGTGAATTCTACAACCCAGAGACCTCAGGTATCATGCCATTTAGACACTGGTCTTGGCTGAATGTGGTTAAGTTTTTCAGTTTTGCAATTCGCAGTACATAAGTGACATGGTGTAACAGTTCAGGGCACCCACTTTGAAACCAGAATCCTCTTTCTGGAATCTTGGCCTCTTCTGAAGTTTCAATATCTCAGTTTTATCATCTGTAAAATGGGATAATATTTCTTATCTCCTGAGATTATCATGAAGATTAACTGAGTTAGTATCTGTGAAGCACTTTCTATGGTACCTAGCACACAGTAAGAATTATGTAGACATTTGATCAATTAATGGCATAATAGCTATAAAAATATAATAAATATGGAAAGAAGGTTAAGAATATGTAGAGAAGAAACCACAGGCAAAGGCACAGACATATAAAAAGGTCTGGCTTGGTTTTGCTAGAGTTGGGGGTTTATATGGGGAACTGCAGATGAGAGAAATACCTTCTAATTTTGAACTTGGCAACAAAAGGGAACCACCAAATGTTTTAAAACCAAGGAGACACAATGACTTCTTGCTTTAAAAAAGTGAACTCTGGTGTTAATCATTAAGAACTTAAGGCTCTATGCTTTTCACCTAATTTTATTTTCTTTTCCTAGCCTTATCCCCCAAAAGGAATAATGAAAACATTTTTAAATTAGGAATTTGAAGATGTAGGTCATAGACTTTGCTCTTCTCCTTGCATAAGCCTGTTGCCCTCTCAAGGTCTTACCCCTCTCATAGGTCTAATGTATGTTGGGATGGTGGGGCATCAAGTTGTGATCACAAGCTGAGATAACTTATAAAAGCTCGGTTCAAATGCCAAGGAGATATTATCAAGATATCATTTACTAAAAGTCAAACCAAAACAAGCAGAAAAATACCCACTTCATTAACTTCAACGAGCCTTTCCCCATATATTTCCAACCACAAACACACGTTTTTAAAAGCAACCTTAAAAAATAGGAGATGGGGCACCTAGGTGGCTCAGTTGTTAAGTGTCTTACTTCCGCTCAGGTCATGATCCCAGTGTCCTGGGATTGAGTCCCGCATTGAGCCCCGTATTGGGCTCCCTGCTCAGAGGGAAGTCTGCTTCTCCCTCTCCCACTCTCACTGCTTGTGTTCCCTCACTTCCTGTCATCTGTCAAATAAGTAAATAAAATCTTTAAAGTAAAAAAAAACAAAAGAAAAATAGGAGATGAAGGCACATAATATAAAAGACTGATTTAAACCCTTTATTTCACAAAAACGAAAACAAACACAAAACAAGGAGAAATACTTGCTGCAATTTTCAAAGAATGTCTGATAATTGTCTAACACCTCATATTGATTTACAAATAAATTTTCCCCTGAATTAAGCCTCGCCTTTACTATAGAGTATTACTTTATTTATTTATTTATTTCACTTAACTGACTGAAATATGATTTAAAGTGGTAATGCCAGATTTTGGAAAGGTCCTCATTACTGAAAGACATTACAAAATTGTGGGTAACAATAGTAATTCTAGCCTGCATGATATATTGAGTGCCTTCTGTAGGTATCTGGACCAGGGTTACATATTCTTTGTACATTATCAGTAAGCTTCTGACAACTCTCCATGTTTTTATTATTCCCATTTAATAGATGAGAAAATTGAGAAGAGAGAGAATCAGGGACTGGAACCCAGATTTGTCTAACTCTGGAGCATGTAAAACAACAAAAAAAAGAACAAGATGTGCTTAAGAGGTGTAAAATATTGGGGCACCTGGGTGGCTCAGTCGGTTGGGTGTCTGCCTTCTGGTCAGGTCATGATCCTGGGATCGAGTCCTGCCTTTGGATCCTTGCTCAGTGGAGAGCCTGCCACTCCCCCTGCTTGTGCTCACTCTCTCTCTCTGACAAATAAATAAAATCTTTAAAAAAAATGTGTAAAATATTAACACTAGGTGAAATCTGGGAAACCAAGCAGAGAGTTGGCCTGGGGCTTAACTGCACCTTATTGTTACCGTTATCAATTTATCAGCTGCTCTTCAGTTCTGGTAAATTCACTTTTAGTAAGTAAAAGATACATACACACACATTGTGTATCGGGAACCTCTCCAAGAGAACCTCTATGAAATGTAACATGAAAAGAACTGCAGGGCAGAGAAGCTTATACGTTTTAAAAGTTCAAATTTATTAAACCTGAATATAAATTTTATTTAAGTTAATGAAGTGACTATTCCACCACAAGGATTTAATTCATGCCAAGTGTGAATTTCTTTATCCAAGGCATTTATCTGGGCATAAAAGCCTCATTTGAGGGTCAAGCAGTAAA